TGCAGACTCACCTAGGCTGATGTCGTAATACATCTTGTCTTTCCGTGCGGTGATTTCAAACAGCGTAGTGCCAGTAGACGAACGACCCCAACAACTTGGGTGACCGCAGTCGCCTACAACACAGTTCGTTCCGTCGGGTGTGCAATACTGCCTCGCCCAGACGCGTCCTGACCATGGAAACGAGCTGAGAGAGACTTGGACCTGCGAGTTAGCTTCCAACGCAAGGCCTTCGGGCAACGGGTCTTGAGAATAATCGATAACTCTTTCACCAGCAGATGACTCTATGAACGAGCCTGAGCCTTCAACTGCAGGCCAAATCGTCTGGTTCGTGGAGTTGTTGACAATGGTTACAACCAATCGTTGCGCATAGAGAGCTACAGGAAAGAGTAGAAAGGTGAGCATCATCAGTAGCTGTTACATTCCATGAGAGACGGCGCTTTTGTAAACGTCTGCGTGGATTCATTCGAACGGGAGATTGACATATTGGTTGTCAGATGGGCAAATGTTTCGTCAACGCAAACCAGAATTAGATGATTTAAACGACATTTGCTATGGTCTTTGACAAATCACCAGCAGGTGGAATGCCAAAGTGTAATGGAGTAGTTGACTCGGGACGTTGACACTGGACGGAATTGGGAGAGTTCGCAGTACATATACACTCGAGAACAGCCACATACCTCTATCTTCGTGTTTGTGTCTGCATGCAGAGAGCCCTCCATGAGAATCACAACGACAACTCCTATGGGGGAGCCACTTGGGTCGGGATCATTTGGTACCGTATACAAGCTCAAAGATCTTCCTATCGCCCGCAAATGCATACCACTTACTGAAGCTGGTCACGGCTTACCACCTGAGGCTATACGAGAAATCGCCTGTCTGCAGCGATTGAAGAAATATGACTCGCGCGCTAGAATCAACTGTATTGACATTCTCGGCATCCAGATATCAAGAACGGCCATAATGATTGACATGGAGCTCATGACCGGCGGAACTCTTGGCGACCTTTTGGACAGCTCGCAGCTACAGCCCGCGCTTCTCCTGTCCTACTCCGTACAGATCGTGAAGGGCCTCAGTTTTC